TTATATTCTTTTCTTTATTATAATATTTTCTTTCAATTTAGATTAAAACTATTAAAGCTTTTTGTATAATAAAGACTTTGATGAAGAATTATCTATAGAATGATTTTAAATAATTATTTAAACTAGATTTGTATAGAATAAGTGTTGTATATCAATAATAAAAAATAAAAAATAAAAAAGACTTAGCCAGAAGCATGTTTTAACAACCATCAAAGAAAAATAGATTATTATGGCATTAAAACTATAGAATGCCAAATTTAAAATATATTTTAAAGTAGTTATTGCTATAGAAAGTTTTTCATGAAGGAAATTGGTAGCAAAATAAATATTGGATTTTATTTCTAATAAAAAAAAAAAATCAAGATCAAAGGATTGAATAAGAACTAACAAAGAATAGAAATCAATAGTGCAACATCTTAGAATAAATGCTCTACAAATATTTTGAGAATTATAGTTGTAGTTTTTGTGGTAAAATTTCTACAATCTTTGGAATACTAACTGGATTTCATCATAATAAAATAAAATAATTAAAAACTACTCAATCACAAAAAAATTAAGAAAAAAAATATATTTATAATATATTTTATTATGATAAAATAGACTTATGTTTTTTAAAGAAGTTAAAAACAAGATTTTTTTAAATAATTTTTTTAAAATTTCTAAAATTATTGCTCATATACCTTCTCTTGTGCATAAAGTAATATTTTTAACAATAGATCTTAGCTTCTTAAATCAAGTGTTTATATTATATTTTACAAATATATATATATATATATATATATATATATATTTATTTATTTATTTATTTATTTAAATTCTAAAATATTTTTAACATCCACAAATAAAAAAATTAAATCAACTTGTTAGACCCTTCCATCTCTGTAATTCAACCATACACTCTACAAATCTCAATAGTTGAAAAAAAAATATATATGATTTAATATTTGAACAAAAATATATTTTACAAATTTACAAAGAATTTTTTTGAAAGTGCCTAACTAATATACTATCTTATAAGCTTTGAAAAAATAATGTATTTTTTCCTATTTATTAAAAGAATTTACAAAAAGCGAAAAGCCATCAAATTATTTATTAGACAAATTGATACCATCAATTTGGATTATTTTGTTTCTAGATAGAAGATACAAAAGAATCACTTTTTTATAAATCCAAAAACAGATTTAAAACTATTTTTAATTTAGAAAAAATATAATTTAGAAAAATATATAATTTACAAGGAAAAAAATTAAATCCTAATGTCAAATTTTCTTACTGAAGAATATAGACCAAATATAAAGCTTATGTATATAGAATATATAAATCCATTGTAATGCAAAAATCCCTAAAAAAATAATATATATGTATGGGATAATGTCAAAGTGAAGAAATTAATTTTAACAAGATTAATATGATGTGAAAAAATCTCTTAGATAGTAAGAAAAATTAGGATTAAAAACAACCAAAACCTAGTAGGAATGTTTTATATAAATAGAATAGAATCTATATAATAATAAAAAAAAATAGAAAAGATAGGATAAGTAGATAAAAAAATAAAATTACACTTAATAGAATCAAATTCAATTTTCTCCCAAATCCATGATTTTAACAAACCAAGATTCTGTCTACATTAAAATTGAATACCTATGTTTATCCACAACCATAGGTATTAAGATCTTGAGAACTTATGTTCCTAAAAATCTAAGGTGGTAGAAGCAATATTGTTTGTTTGTGCCAAAAGTGAAACAAAAATAATCAAAATAGTATAAAGAAACCTCAACTAATACAAGCTTCATTATTTTCATAATAAACTATAGGAATGGTTAGGTGGACACCTCACTTGCCATGTACTCCTACATACACACCCTGTAAAAAATAAGTGATCTAGATTCTAAATCATAATTCTTAAATCACAATTCTTGTTATATTTATTACTTTAATATCAAAATTTGATATACCCTTATCCATCTATACTCTATGACTCCATATTATCTCAACCTTCAATTCTTATGTCCTTCCAAATCTTTGTCAACTCAATTTTTGAATAATAAAAACATTATATATATATATATATATATATATACACACACACATACATATAGTACTTTCATTATTCATCAATGTCAAATTAAAAGAACAAAAAAAACTGGTTATTTTTTGTGAGTGTGTATGCAAGGTGCCTCATGCAATAAAAGGGGTGTGCCAGCAGTAAAAGGGGGTTGCCTAAAACATATAATGCAGGCTTTCAATATGAAAAATACTCATTTCACAGTAACTTTTGAACAATGTGCTCAGGCAAGCTGGTTTTGTTGGTTTTGTTGTTGCAACGGTGACCATCGGTATCGGCAGAAGGTGATCGCAGTTGTCGAAAAATGAGTTCACCAGTTCGACGCTCTTCACACAACTTGATTTTGATTCCAACGTGTTTGTGACGTGACACCCGGCGGAACGGTGAAGTCGAAATCGAAACGACTGAAGAAACCAACTTATCAGGGTCATGTTGTGCGGATGGGTTGCAGCGCTCTCTAAGTTCTTTTTTCAGATCTATCCTCAAGAAAACAACGAAAAAAACAACCTAACAAACAAACAAACAAAACCTCGTTGCTTTGTCCAATTGAGACGGATGAGATCGTAGAATCTGGCCCTAAGCATCCTCCCCGAAGCACGATCCGCAGCAGTTGCGATCTGCAGGTGAAAGAGAACTCACACCTACACCACAACGTTGCAGGTAATTACCGCCAAAGTAAACACCGTGAATGGACAGTCCCGCATGTGGCACCACAAACGATTCCGAGCATGTTGATCCGCAGTAGCGATGCTGGTGTGAATGGCAATCTGCTGTGAGATTCGTATGCATGAAAAAGTTTAGTTTCTCGTGTCTGATCTTAATTCGAGATCAGTGTTTGTGAATTCTGCCATTCACATTAATGCAAGGAATTCGTCGACCATCTTAACTTGTTGGCGGTGTCGGATGTGGACTGCGTAACATTCATTTTCTGGCATTTATGGCTGCAAACTTTCTGTCAAACGTGGCATTTACTGATGTGGGTTTTTTATTTTTATTTATTTATGGAATTTAGTAATGTGATAGATGGAGAAGTAAGAGTTGTGAAATTGTAACATGCATTACTGTGTAGTGTAATCTTTCAGAATGATTATGTTTGAGTGCGTTACTCTGCATTCATTCATTCCGGTACATATATATATATATATATATATATTTACATATTTTTATTGTCATTTTAGAAGAAAGTACAAGATAATGAGTTATCAAAAGACTTTATTGATTGAACAGAGAATGTGAGCGTAGTAAATGCTTGTTTTAATGCAGTGGTGTCATCGCTTTTTATTATATATTCCAAAAATGCCATTTCATCTCTGTTCCACATTTGGAATTAATATTTAGAAACCATTTTGGACATTAAATTCAACAATTAGATTTTTTTGGCCACTGGTTATCTAATAATGCTACTACATGGTAAGTAGAAAATAATTGGAATACTCAGAACATTGCAGTCTTTTAAAAGAAAAGGAAGTGGAAAAAATAAAACACTATGGGTGTTACCATATATAGATCATAGAAGTATGACTTGTGAAATTGGTTCAATGATTTCATAATTAGTCGTTAATAAAAAAAATTAAAATTAAAATTGTACTGATCTAAAGAATACCAGTCTTCATTAAAAAAAATGATGAAGAACACTTTTCTTACAATATTGGAATCGGTTTGAGTCATTCATTTTGGCATTTACTGTTTTATTTTTTTCGGATACAAACGTTGCAATTAATATTCATATACCCATAATCAGACCATCATTCGATCACTATTATTCATCCTAAGACGGTTTCACTCTTCGTCCAATTCATTTCATCCGTTCATGCGGTGGGGTTAGTGCCGACCGTCATTTTCAGCATTGTCGTTGTCGGGGGCACTGGGGAAGCACAAGATCATCAGACTTCTGGGCACAAGATTTGGCAGCTCCGTTCCAGGACCCTGCCAATTGCCTCACACACAGCGAAGCAACTGAGACGGTATTATCTGAGCTTATGCCATCGATAAGAGCTGCGACATTCTCATGTTACGTCTGTGGAGCGACGCAGCCTGTTTATGTAAACACATCGAGGACTGGAATGAAGTTCTCATCACAGGAAAATATTTCAGAAACCAATTCTCAACTTGTCAATATGGCGAAAGACTTGGGAGGTTTCCACATTGGTTAAGATGATGAACCAACGTTTTCCGTTTAGAAGACAGGCAGTGATGCCATAAATCCAGAGAACGAAGCGAGGCTGTCCAGTTGTTTTACGGCCATTCTGAGTGTGACTGACGATCGGACTCCCGGAGGATATTGATTAGGGATGACTTCACACAACTATCTGGAACATAAAGGAACCATGAAATCCTATCTCATGGATGGGCCGTAGTTTTTACCCTCAATTGCCCAAGCGCTTACTCAATATCACCTAAGTCCTGGATGCATGAATTAACAAGTTTGCCAGTGTAGAATGGTTCATTGTATTCAGTTGGAATACATAGTAGCTTTCTCACGTGCGAATCGGGTGATAAACGCGGAACCCGTATGAGTTCCCAATCGCTAGTACAACGTCTCTTACAATTGTATCGTGCGATCCCCAGGACTCAATGATGTTCGTTGTCTCGCAAATCCGAAGCAATCAGAAAGAGTTTCAATTGAGTCAAAGATAGAACTACTGAAGAGGAAAGTTCTACCAAGTGCAACAGAATTTCATGGAATGTCTTTCAAAGCTACAGATTCGCGTTGTGGAGGATTTCAGCTCACTACACACACAATGCATTGTTGGAAGCACCGCTGCTACAGTAATTGTGAAGGAAAATTCGCAGAATTATCCCACTTAAACCTCAGTTTTGTGCAGTTTGAGAACGTTAGAGTGACTTCGCTACATCCTTCAATATCATTCACATCCGCAAACTAACCTTTGGATGAAACAAGTGATGACGCATTCTCGACTAGTGCAATTGGAGAGACGCATAACAGTGAACAGTTTACCAATCAATTCGAGAAAAAGGATGAAAGCTGTGGCCACATTGCAATCCTAGCACGTTGGTTTTTATCTAACAATAGCAGTTTGCTTCTCACGCCGAAGCCCTTGTAGAGCAATTCTAATTTTGCACAATTTTTCCCTAACGTCTTGCAAGCGCTCATACAGTCCCACATAACTCGTGAATGCAATTTTGTTATATTACATGAGTTCACGTCGAATTTACGAAGCTTCCTACATCTCCCCAGTTTGAGTTCTCAGTTGTCATCACAGAGGGCGGCCATGGCGGAACGTCCGCTGCATGCCATGCACAAGCAGTGCTTCGCTCCTTTCTCAATCCAGGGGTTGCCGCTTCTTGTACAACAGTGTAAAGCCATTAACTACGTCGAAGATGGACGCCAATAATATGCAACCTGCCCATCTCATAGACAATGTAACTGTTCTTAGCTTCCACGTTGCTTTTTTTTTATGTCTCCAATTTCCCGGGATGCAACCACCAAGTTATACGAATCCTTTTCTAGTGGTTGTTTATGTATGCATCAATTTATATTTCCATTCTCATGCACACATGGATTCTGGGATTTATGACTGTTCGGAAGAAGATTAAGTTGAACTGTACTTATACTTGCGGCAGGAAATGAACTCAAAATATCAGCGAAGTTTTTTGTTACAGGAACCCGATGCAATTTCAACTCATCTCGACAAGTTTGCTTCCGTTTACTGACTACTCATGCCTTTCAGAGATTTAGACTTGCACCATTCAGTGTACTACTTTCTAGAATCTAAACATCAAACACTGCCAACGACATCATACAAACCCATTCGGTCAAGAATGAAGCTTCACAGATTCAAGAACCACAACATCCAGGGCCCAAAACCGCGTTCTTACCAGTGTGAGAGATCAAGCAGCGTAGACCCAAGTGCAGGGCATGTGTGAAAAACAGCCAGAGGTGCGTTTGCAAAAAAGGCTGAACGGTGTGACATGCCCCACCTGATGATGTTAATGATGAAGCCACCCTCACCCTCACTGCTGCAGTCGACTTCGGTTACGATGTCCGAGACTCCTACGGAAACAATAGTGTGTCTGTCTATCTGTCTGTATGTCTGTCTGTGCGTCTGTCTGTGCGTCTGTGTTCACCTCGTCCTGTGGGTGTGTGGCAGCGACGGACGAGAGCGACTAGTTATGCTTCTACGGAAACAAAGTGCAAGATACGAAAACACCTGAGTCTCTAACCACACATTGTGTGAGGATCTGGATTCATTTCTGTGAAGGAATATGCGATTTTTGTGATACTGGATGATGCCATTCTTTCGTCTTGTATTCACACTAGGGGGGAATTTGACTCAGAAAATGGGATTGAAGCAAAGTTCTTTACAAAGTATACACGGCCAAGGTTTCTTTTTAGTGGTTTGGATCTTTGATACTGGACATTGGGACCAATTATTGTAATAATAGATCATTGGATATGTGGATGAGTAAAAGAGTAATGCAGTTTGAGATAATTGATTTGGTGTGAGGAAAGAAAGTTGTAAGAAGATGAAAATATCAACCTATCGATTGTTGGAATGGCTTTTTGTGTTTGTTGCAATAGCAATTCATCACAACACCTCTGTCGTTCTATGTAAGAGTTTATAAAAAAGGTTCTTAGAACCATAAAATAATTTTTAGGAAATTGAAAATTTTAATAGAAAGTTTCAAATGACTATGAAAAATATTAAAAGTTTTTAGACGATCGTGAAAGATTTAATAATCCAATTAAAGAGAATAGAGAATTCGAAAGACTCCTAAAGTTTAATAAAGTGATATTTTTATTTAGAAAGTTTTAATAGGTTTTAAATAAATTTCAAAAGTTCTAAAACATATGTAAATCTACACATTTACTTCCTCTTTAAGAAAAAAATTATGTAAAGAACCTTGGTAATGAAGCCCTCTGTACTTACAAAATTCAAAGACTTATAAAAGATTTTTTTATGTATATTATTTATTTATATTTATATTCATATTTAATTATTTTAATAAATCTATCCAATCTAAAAATTATAGTTACAATAGCTATATGTAAATAAATTTAATTTAATAATTTGATAAAACTAATATCTTTAAAATATTTTTAAAAAATTATATTCTTATTAGTATATTAATTTATTTTCTTGAAATTTTGATAAGATAATTAACTTGTTATAGTTTTCTTTTTTTATAAAAAAGTGAGTAGATTATTCAACTTCTTTGAAAATATTTTTAGTTTTTCTAAAGTTTGTAAACTACTTGCTCTTAGATATTTTTTTGTTCTTTTTGATATTGATTTTTTTCCTTAAAACAAATAAACTACCCTTCTATATAGAAATTTTTATTTGATATTAGAGATTTCATATTATTTTCTTATAATTTAACTTATGAATAATTATTATTTTCTATTATTATGATTGAAGAAAAAAAAATGTGGATGTTATACTTTGTAAAAGTAAAAAAATATTTGTAACTATTTTAAATTTCTAGAAGCATTTTAATACTCTTTGAGCAAGAATCTTAGAGATTAGTAATCTCAACCATAGAAGCACTATTGGTATATCTATAGAAAAATTCAACAACAAGGTCTAATCTTTATATTTAGAAGTTATACAATTGAAAGAAGTAATTACAAGTAAATAAATTTTACAAATAAATTCTAAAAGTCTTGCTTCCACAAATAAAATAAAACAAAATATAAATATGTTTGAAAATTTTGATAGACCAAAACCAAAATTTTAAGGATTTTTATAAATCAAGTTCTTTTTAAGGTCACATCCTTCTTGATATCATGATAGGATAATTTAAGCACAATTTATGATCAAATTCTTGATTGATATCTTTGATAGAAAAAGAATTGTGCATTTTGTATACTTTTAACTTATTTTTGGAAGTATTTATAGCTACCTTTAGAAAAAGAATTTTTTAAAATAGTAGCAAAAATAACATTCCAATCTTTGTTATAAGAGTTATATTCAATAGCTATCTATTCTCTTGAATTTCAATAATTTGTATGCAACATGGTCCAGAACAATAGGCTTTTATTGATTAGTTTTGATATGGCTTAAAAGATAATATCAAAGATTTTTTAGTTGAAAATATCAAAATTAAATTTGTAATAAGAATTTGTCATTCAAATAATTGCATGCAACAATTGACTCTTTAAAAGGTGTCAAGAACAAAGATTTGGATTGAGAAGAAAAATTCAAGTAATGAAAGCCAATTTTAAGTTTTCATTAAAGTCTAAACCTATGGAGATTGATAAAATTTAATTTTAGCAATCAACATAAAACAAAACAAAACAAAAAAATAACACAACAAATATTATTGTAAAACTTCTATTTATATTCTGGAAAAATAGTCTTAAAGTACAACGACTATCACATCAAATAAATTGGATTTTAAATAGCGGAGTACAAACTCAAACATAAAAAAATCAAAAAAATCAAAAAAATATTGTCATAATAAAAACCTTGTAATTAAATAAGCATAAGTCACAATCCTCAAATTCAAATCTTATGCTACTACCACATCTTGTATCTTATTGTAAATTTCTAATATTTATTTAAATCTAAATTATTATTTTTTGTTAAAAATATTTTAGAAATTAGAGTATTATCATATTTTATAAATAAAGACTTTGTATTGCAATAAAAATTGACACTTTTAAAGATAAACTATTTAGCTCTACTAGAAGTTATTAATAAATAATTAATTGTATAAAGAAATGCTATAGAAAAAATCAAGCAATTAAAAGTGGCATTAAAAAATAAAGTATTCAAAATAGACTTAAATATAGTTTAATATCCTTCAAATCTAGTAGTATTTGGCCTTTTTTGGTTTGAATTACATATTTTTAATATTGATTAGAAATTTTTAAAATTTTCCTTTGAGATATTATCTAAATAATAATTAAACTATCTTATTTATTATTTATTGGAGCTGAAGCATTTTTGTAAGCCAAAAACTTTATTTATTCTTTTATTGATCATTTATATAGGACCAAATTTTTATTCAAATAAAGGTTGTGATAGAATCTTGGAGCAATACAAATGATATCAAGATATTAATGAAAAAATAAATTATTGATATATTTCCAAAATACAAACCTAATAATTATATAATCAATCTTTAAGAAAGAATTTAATCACTATTTGAACCAATTTACAACTTATTACAAAATTAACTTGCCATTGAAAAGAAAATATTAACAAAAAACTTGCAAAGAACTTTATTGAGTATTCAAAATCTCCTACAAGTACATCAATCTTCTTTGTAAAGAAAAAATATTGATCCTTGCAAATTCTTATAGATTATTTTGAATTCAAAAAATTCACCATTAAGAATCATTATCTATTTTTTTTAATATTAAGGTTATTTTTTCAATTAAAGAAAGGTAAGATCTATATTAAGATAGATCTACAAAAATCCTACAATTTATTACATATTAGAAAATAATATAAATAGAAGATTATATTCCAAACTAGATATTATCAATTTGAATATAATATGATGACTTTTAGCCTTATAAATACTACAGCTTCTTATCAACATTTGATAAACAATATAATTTGTGAATTTTTAGATATTTTTTTCATGTGATATTTGGACAACATTCTAATCTATTCCAAAAATACAAAAGAGCATAAACAATATATTTGATTGGTACTAAAAAAAACTTTGAAATGCAAGAATATATTCTATAATAGAAAAATGTATACTTCACACAATTTAAGTAGAATTCTTGGATTATATTATTTCAAATGATTATTTGAAAATATATTCTAAAAATATAAAATTATGATATTTATAATATAGAACTTATTAATATTATAGATTCATTCTTAAAGTAGCATTACTACCTTAAAGACACTTTTTTCTTAATCACATTTTAGATCAATCAAAAGAATTTTATATATTTTATGCCTATATTTATCTTAAATCATTGATAAGTCCAATAAAGCACGTTTCTATCAAAATTTGTATTTAGTACTATATATTGTTTTAAAAACTAATAAAACTTACTAGATGCATTGTCTAAATATTCTAATCTTATACTAAAAAAAATTAATATCTAATTAACAAAAAATCTCCTTTTAAAACAAATTCAATTAAAACTTCAAGCCATTAAATTCAAAATTATATATATATAAATTAAGAATTTTTTAATATTTTAATAAAAATTCTTTTTAATGTTAAATATAATATTATTAATAATTATAATTATTTAGTTTTAAAATAATATTTTTTATTAAAAAATATATTTAAATATTATAGAAGAATAATCATAATTATGTGTATTTCAATTACAACATGATTATTTAATGATATAATATTTTGGATATAAATGAATTAAAGCTTATCTTAAAAAGATTTTAGAGATTTTATATGTAAAAAGCTATAAAAATATTCATTAAATCATGACATATCTTTTTAAAAGAAAATACTCTATATTATTAATCTTATAGACTTCTTTAATTTCTACCTATTTTAAAGCAATCTTCACTATCTATATGAATAAAAATCTTTATAAAAAAATAATCTCAAGTTATTATAATTATATTTTACATAAAAATGGATTTCTTAACCAATATGATAAATTTTAGACCTTGAATAAAATGCATTACTAATAGAGAAACAACCAAAATAAATTTGATAATATCTATTAATATGACAAGCTTTCAAATGGTATTATATTTAATTAGGGATTTAAATTTTAGAAAATATTTCTTAACATATTAAAGATTGTTATCAAATTATCTTTAGTTTATTATTATAAAACTGAACAAATATAATGTGTAAATCAAATATTATAACAATATTTGCATTATATCATAAACTATCTCTAAGATAATTGGATAAATATCTTGTCATTTGAAGAATTTTTATATAATAATATAATATACTCTTCTATTTGAAAAAAAATAAATTAATTAGAACCATCATCTATAATTTTATATTTTTTATATTTTTAAAGTTAAAAATCTAAAAGTAAAAGATTTGGCAAATAGAATTGTAGAGCTTCATGCAAAAACAAAGATATTGCTTAAAAAGATCCAAGAACAACAAGGAGAAAATCAAAAATAAAACAAAAAATAAAACAAAAACAAACCAATCAACTAACTAACCAAAGTTTTTAATAAAGAACAACTTTCATTCCAAATTGGTGATAAGGCATAGTTACTTTATTATAAAATCAAGACCAATCAACC